TGCTCAAGAATGCCCCACCAGCCGAGGCATCAACTATATTCTTCAAGCTGTCTGACAATCCCATGTAAAACCGTTGTCCCAACATCTGCTCTGGAACACCATGGTGGGGACACATAACCAACATTCCTTTAAACCTTCCCCATGTCTCGTGTAGTGTCTCCAATGGTTTCTGTTTGAAGCTCACAATCTCATCAATTTGTTGAGCGGTCTTGTTGGGAGGATGGAACTTGTTGTGAAATTGCTTGACCAACTCATCCCAAGTTGCTATAGAGTTTATGGGAAGTGAGTTTAGCCAAACCTGAGCAGCTCCTGTCACCGAGAATGGAAACAATAATAGTCTGATTGCTTCCGGAGTCACGTTCGGTTGCCTTTGAGTTTTGCAAATAGACAGGAAGTTCTTTAAATGTTGCTGAGGGTCTTCTGTTTGTGTCCCAGAAAAAAGTCCCTTGTTCTGCAACAAGTGTAGCATGTTATTTGTGATCTGGAACGATTCAGCTTGTATCGCAGGCACAATAATGGCAGTGGCCAGATTGTCAGCTGTTGGTTGTGCCCAGTCATAAAGTGCACCCTCAGGCACAGGAGGTGCCAATTGCTCATCCCTGACGTTCCCGTTGGGGTCGTTTATGTCGCCCATATCAATTTCGAGTTGGTGTATTTGTTGTGATTGTTGAAGTCTTTTGTTTGCACGATTCAATGCCCGGAATGTCTTCTCGGGGTATGAGAGTCCTTCAAGCAGTTCTCCAGTCCTTGTAGAATTTCTAGGCATGCACCTGTGCACCCAGATCAACAACCGTCAAATTTTCAATGAAAAATAAATTGGTAGAGAGAAACTGAATACAACAATAATCTTTGTATTTCTGTCAATGGCAGTTGATAATTCCGTTAACTCCCCGGCAACGGCGCCAAAATTTGATCACGCCCAACTATGCCTTCTAGAAAAGAACTCTGCGGACGTTGCAAATATAACCCGAGTATTACGCCCAGGGTCGAATCCACAGAGAGTTAACCTATCAACCGCTATCTTCAAACCCACCAAGTATTCAGCACCAGCTTCTCAAACATTCAAATTCTCAGTTGAGTGTCCTTTAACAACTAGCTTGCAAGTAACTAAATGGCTGTAACTAAATTAATAAGGTTGTAAACAATTATAAGGAAAAGCTAAGGCAATGATTTCCCCTATTGATGGAATCCCTTCTGTTTATGCTCATACAAATTTACCCACACATCTCTATCAATCATGAAAGCTAATCTTACCGCAAATCTCTCCCGAGTAATCACAGTAATCTACTATTGCACTCTCCCGAGATACACTAACTTGCTTTATTTAATCACAATTCACTTTAGATTGCACCCAAGACTTCGTTATTCCTAATCCCGCCTTTAAACCCGCAATTATAGATTCCTCTAATAATCTAGGAGTGGTGTTGTTCAACAATACCCTAAATATGCACTCTTTTCCAAGTTATGCACACTAAATAGGTACAGCTAATTGAGGATCCTGTCAATTAACTACAACGAACACGAAGTTGAACAAATAAAGATTAAACTAGCAATTTGTATTCACATAAACAAGAAGTTCATCACCCAATAGGTTCCATCACAGCCTTAGACAAGGAATTTAGCTACTCATGGATATGGGAGAATAAACTACACTTGAATTCATCATAAAAATCAAAAGAAAGGAAGAAAGATGTTTAGAGTACTTGCTCCCAATTGTATTCCTTGCTAAGAAACCTAAAAAATCAATACATGCCTCTCTTGGGCGAAGTCTAGTGTTTTAAATAGGGTTTTGGTCTAAAAATCCCGTGTTTTACACTTAAGTCCCTGAAGTTTACTGTGCCCACCGCGGTTCTACCGCGGTCGCGGTAGAACCGCGGCCAAACGCCCTCGCGGAATCTTCAACTTTCAGAAACTGCCTTCCACCGCGGTCGCGGTAGAACCGCGGTGGAACTTGTACCCGGAAATTTTGGCCTGTTTTGAATGGGATACTTGGGAAATTCAACAATTGGCCTTTTTTTCATCAATAGTTGACTCCAAAACCGCTCCATAGCCTTCCTTACACCTATATCACCTGCAAATCATGAAAAACACTAATAAGAGCATTTTGTTGTCATTTTTCCACATTAAAAGTTCACAAGAAGGTGATTATTTGGTGCGTGATTATAGTCAAATTCACCTATTATCAGCTTTCCAAACAGGCTCGTAATGATAAAACCTGAACAAAAACACTCTTAAAAATCCGAAAAAATTTCAGCATCATATGCTGGAGTTCAAACTTTTTACATATAAGATTCGAGCATAATATGCTGAAATTTCATAATGTGCTAGAATTCCAACATAATATGCTGGAAATTTATAAGCAGGAGCTCCATCATCCAGCATATTATGCTGAAACTTTTTGTGTTGCCGCTAAAATAATGGTTATTTTTAAATGACAATGAAAATACTGACTATTTTTGGATTACCGATCCGAGAACTGGCTAACCCGTGCTATTTTTACACCTTCAGGAGTAGAAATGCCAACGTACAAGGGGGTTTTATTAAAAATGGGAGAAGTCTATATACGAGATTTGGCAGAGCCAATCCAAATGGAGTAATGCCACTTTATCAGGCATAAAATCATCATCAATTTGGGATTAAGGAAATTTGACCTTGCTGTTTACCTATAAATAAACGAGGTTAAGGGCTATTTAATAAATAGTTAATCATTGTTTAATTTATTAATTACACTCAGATGCCAAACTAGAATCTTGCATGTGTAACAACTCCATGGACACACTCCTAGTGACTTTTAGATCGCACATCAGAATGTGGCATCGTCAAGCTCTGTCCTTCTCCTTTCTCCTTCCCTGTCTTTTGTAAAGAGAGAAAAGGTTTAGTCAAACTTAGGGATACTATATAATTTTTAATTGGACGATCATTCGTTTTTAGAGAATAATAATGGTTGTAATTGAGTGGTAAATACTCTTCATCCTTAACTAAAGGTCGCGAATTATGGATATGAAGCCAGCTTTGTAAGGAAGCATTGTACCCCAATGTGGGACTTCCAATATTATCTCAAATTTATCGGACCCAATGCGAATATGGTGGAAAACTCAAAAAAAAAAAAAAATGCCATAAAAAAAAAAAAAAAGCTTCATCGATCCTTAGGAAGGCAAAATAAATAATGAAAAAAAAAAGGAAGGAAAACTTCTCTAATAAAGACTAAAGAGTAGGGCACATATCAAAGAATTGAGAGAATAGAAGAGAAAAACAACAACGTCATATTCATTCTCCAATATCAATCTCTTTCACTAGTAGCACATTTCTTTCTGATTTCTGAGCTAACGGGGTACGTCTGTTTTTCTTTCTGATGATCAGATTTAGTACTTTAGAATCCATACACTAAGTTGCGTCTTATAACCCCAAATTCATCTATACAATGTACCTGTTTGACTCAAAGTTGTTTAATACTTTTTAAGCAAATCAATCAATATAGATGAAGGGGTAAATCCTAGTTAAAGATAAGTAACTCTAGATCCGAGATGAATAGGATAAGTAGAAAAACATAGTCAAATATAAATGTTGACAGCGATTATGATCAGATTTAATGGCATAAGTAAAGATGCATTAAGTAACAAAAATCTATATCTATACTAAAGCAAAGTTTGCTTTATAATTTAGCCAAGTGTCAAATTATTAGAATGCCAAGTGGCAACATATTAAAAAGACACATGGCAACTTAATTTATTAATACTTATTGTTATTAAAATGCAAGATTTAACACCCATTATTTTCGGCATAATTGACTTATTAAAATGCAAGATTTAAATACACATTTTTTTTGCATAATTTTCTGTCAAATTAAGTCAACATAGATTACGCCTAAAAATCTGGAGAAGCACCAATTACGCCTAAATTATGAGATAACCTTGCAATTACGCCGAAATATCTTGACAGAATATATGTGGGATTACAATTAGTCCGAAGAACTGGGGAATCCGAAAAATCTTGAGTGAATATATGTGGGATTACAATTAGATCGAAAAACTGGGGAATCTTGATCTCTCTAAACAAATTGGGAATTTCAAAAAGCTTAAACCTAACCCGAAAAATAAGATCCGTAATTTTGTTGGATTTGGATACAGAAGGAGAAGAGGAGACATTCAAATGTTAAATTAGTCCATCGCAAGGAGACATTCAAATCTGAAGATGATTTTTCCGGTCGTTTGTTCTCATCTTTTTCGCATCGCATCTGAAGACGACGACATCTACGCCAGGTATTTCGGGATAACAACTAATTGTGGAATCCCAAATGCATATACCTCTATTTTACTGATCTTTTTATGGAAAATATATTTTTCGATACAAAAATTACCGCATTCCGTATATATCTATAGATATATATATATATAGTAACTGAATTTTTTTTGTAATTACTTGCGATTTAGGGTTTATTTTTCCATACAAAAATTACTGCATTCCGTATATATATATATATATATATATATATATATATATATATATATATATATATATATATATATATATATATATATATATTTGACGCCATTTGACAGACAATCCTCTTATAAAGTTTTCTCTAAGAAGAAATATGACGGCATTTGACTATATTTGCAATATATCGAGTAACAAGATGAATTGGAATTTAAAGATACGAATAGTGAGATTGTGGCACGTTCCCGACCGCGACAAACCAGACAACACCGTCTCCCTTGAATTAATTATTCAAGACGAAAAGGTGCATTCTTTTTTAAAAAAACTTATTTTTTCATACAAGTTTGACTACAATCTCATCTTCTACTTCTACCGAAGCCAAGGAAAGTTACTGGAATTTGATTTGCCTGGAGGCATCCCAGAATCATGGCCCAAGTTATTGCGATGGTGTATAAGTCCTACTTAGAAGTTAAAACTTTTGTGCTCTGTTACTGTGTTATCTATGAAGTTTAGTACCTGTATATTTTGTTTTCTATTATATCTGCATTTCGTTGGTCTTGCTTCTTTGCTTTCTATACTGAAATTTGATTTATCAGTTTGTATTATCCAGTCTCTGCAGCTCCTCAAGGCAGCTATCTTTGACGAGGAATGCAAGCCATGTATCCTGATTACTTTTTAGTCAGTTGACTGCTCCTCTTTTATGTAGTGTTGTTCTCGATACTTATGTGGTTCAATATGGAATCCTTGACTCTTACCAGTACTCTCCCTTGAAATGTATGGTCATATTATTGGCATGTTTGAGCTGAATAACCTGTAAGTTCATGATCCATCAAACTACCACCTTCATGTTATTTTCAGCATGCATGCAATAAACCTGATGATTGTTTCACTTTTCTGCAACTCTGAAGCATACAAAATAATCAATTGTATCTTCCAAAATGAATGTCCTAATATGAGTTGCCAAGTTTATTACTATGGCAGGAGAGTTTTTGTTTTATAACGTATTCTTTGAAATTATTCATTGTTTCCCCTTTCTATTTTTTTTTTCCTCTTAATTTAAGTCAAATAACAAACCTCTTGAGTGTTCTTTGAAGCAGTTAAATACGGTGGCTGCCTTTGATGAATTTCAAATTTGTTCAATGAAGAGGTCTGTTGTACTATAGTTCCAGCAACTGACAAGGAGATTATTTTTTAATTCCTGTAATAAGGTTATAGTAATGACACAATTTTTATTGCTCCATCCTTCAAAAGAATGAGGTAAATAAGAAATTGATCACATGCAATAAAGGTGCTATTGGATCATGTTCGGTATTGTTTGCTAAGTCTCTTTCAAACATGTTGAGATTGGCAATGTCATCATCTGGTCGTTATGCGATACTACACAGCAGGTTCACGTATTCGATGCTTCTGATGTTTCTAAGTACAGGTATATTTTGGATGGCAAGGTTAAATGAAGGACTTTCACGCTTTGATGCAATACTTATTGTCCCTATGTTCCAAATAGCTTGGACATTTTTCTCCGTTTGTACTGGATTTGTGTACTTTGAGGAGTACAAGGTGTTTGATGCTTTGAGAACAACAATGTTCATTCTTGGAATTATTTGTGTGTTTATTGGCATTTATTTGCTAGCACCTGAAGATGATGAATCATATCTAAAAGGAGGTGAAGTACTGAAGGATGAGAAGAGGCTGTCATGCCATCTAAAGACTCCCAAATTAAAGATGTAGAGAGTTATGGTGATATAAAGTGCTAATATGTCGCCTAGCATCTAGATTGTCAAGGCCATTAAGCACAACATTGAATTGCTTGAAAAAATCAACATTGAAGTCTGGATCTTTGACATTTGCATGGTATGGTGTAATTCTAATATGAGGCTTACATTTTAGGACAGCCTCTCTAGCAACCTGGAGAAAATTTTGAGTATATTACTTAGGAACCAAATGAAAATGGAATCCAGAAAAAAGAAATTGATGTGATTTCCTTACTTTAGCCTTAGATTGTCTAACATGTTTCTGTCGAAACAAGAATTGTAAGTTTCGGTTTATTTTGTCCTTAATCAAGTTTGTTGCTTTCTACAAATTGCAGAGTATGCCTTGCTATGATAAGTTTAGTTAAAATAAACCGCGCATCGCGCGGGTCCTAATACTAGTATGAATAAAGGAAAAGATTCATCCGATCTTCAGTGAGACGGATCTTCTTTCATTTAATAAAGATCAATGGTAGACAAATACAAGAACTTTATGACCCTTTTTTGGATCCGATGAAGATATAAGATCACTCATCCTCTCAATTCTTTGGAGAGGTGTGTTTACATATTTTCTAGAAAGATGGAGAGGGAGACAGAGAGAGAGCCCCCCTCCTTTTGGGGAGTCCTCCCCTCCTATTTATAAGGGGGGTATCCGTAGAAAATCCTAAAAAGAAAAGATACAATTTAGAGGGAATATTCGGTAGAATATTCCTTTTGAGTATTCCAAAGCAAACTAGCTGTTTGATGACGGTCCGACCTTGCTTTTTGATGACGGCCCGACCTAGCTTTTTGATGACGGTCCGACCTTGGTTATTGATGACGGTCCGACCTTGGTTTGNAGCCTTAGTCCAGTTCGAACGAGGTCGAACCTATCGATCTTTGATGGCGAAGGCCTTAGCCTTAATCCCGGTTCGAACGAGGTCGAACTGTCGATCTTTGATGGCGAAGGCCTTAGCCTTAGTCCTAGTTCGAACGAGGTCGAACCTGTCGATCTTTGATGGCGAAGGCCTTAGCCTTAGTCCCAGTTCGAACGAGGTCGAACCTGTCGATCTTTGATGGCGAAGGCCTTAGCCTTAATCCCGGTTCAAACGAGGTCGAACCTGTCGATCTTTGATGGCGAAGGCCTTAGCCTTAATCCCGGTTCGAACGAGGTCAAACCTGTCGATCTTTGATGACGAAGGCCTTAGCCTTAATCCCAGTTCGAACGAGGTCGAACCTGTCGATCTTTGATGGCGAAGGCCTTAGCCTTAAAGGGTTCCCTGGGGGAGTCCCAATTTGCTTAATNTTTTTGGCGATGGCCCTTGGCCGTTGGGGTCGACCTTCTCTTTTTCGAGATGGCCCTTGGCCATAAGGGTCGACCCCCTCTTTTTTAGCGACGGCCCTTAGCCGCAAGGTCGATTCGGACGAGACCGAATGTTGATTCGGACGAGGCCGAATGTTGTTTCGGTCGAGGCCGAAGGTTGATTCGGATGAGGCTGAATGTTATTTCGGTCGAGGCCGAATGTTGATTTGGATGAGGCCGAATGTTATTTCGGTCGAGGACGAATTCTTCTTTTTGGCGATGGCCCTTGGCCGTTGGGGTCGAACTCCTCTTTTTGGCGATGGCCCCTGGCCATAAGGGTCGACCCCCTCTTTTTTAGCGATGGCCCTTGGCCGTAAGGTCGATTCGGACGAGGCCGAATGTTGATTCGGACGAGGCCGAATGTTGTTTCGGTCGAGGCCGAATTCTTCTTTTTGGCGAAGGCCTTAGCCTTAGTCCCAGTTCGAACGAGGTCGAACCTGTCGATCTTTGATGGCGAAGGCCTTAGCCTTAGTCCCAGTTCGAACGAGGTCGAACCTGTCGATCTTTGATGGCGAAGGCCTTAGCCTTAAAGGGTTCCCTGGGGGAGTCCCAAGTTGCTTAATTTTGCTTGCATTGGAGAATATGACGTATTTCCTGGGGGAGTCCCAGTTTGCTTAATTTTGCTTGCATTGGAGAATATGACGTATTTCCTGGGGGAGTCCCTACTTTTATTCCACTTGGAGAAATAGTTAGTTAAAACAAAATAAAAGCATTTGTTACCTCAGTTTGATCTATTGCAAAGAAATGCTCGGAGGGCAAGCAAAATTAGCAGGAAGCGGTGACGCTGAAGTAGAGTCGAGCATCTCCAAATTCATTACCTCGTGAATATTGTCATTTGGTCGAGGTGGTGGAAAAACATTAGTCCTCAAAGTTATCTGCTGTATCTGCTCAGCACTTGGTGTCCTTATCCCTGCCTGTATATGCTTTCAAGCAAATCAATTTGTTCCTTCGTTAGATTCCACCTGGATCCTACTGGTGTTTCAGATGCTAACATTTTCACGCCGATCTTCATTCGTTTTCAACATTCTGGAATATAAGTGGCTTAAAGCCTCAAATTGGAGCAATTGTCCAAAGTTTATAATCAGCCAATTAAACAATTTACAATTCCAATATACATGTAGCTTTGACCATAGCCTACTAACGTCAACAACTTCTTTTATGTTCTTGGTATGAATGTAATGTGCCGTAGGAGCTACAGAAGAACTCGCTAGGATTGAATTTTAGATCTAGAGAAAACTAAAATTTTAACTAGAAAATCCCCACAGACGGTGCCAAATTGTTTGACTCAAAGTTGTTTAATACTTTTTAAGCAAATCAATCAATATAGATGAATGGGTAAATCCTAATTAAAGATAATTAACTCTAGATCCGAGATGAGTAGGATAAGTAGAAAAACATAGTCAATTATTAATGTTGACAGCGATTATGATCAGATTTAATGGCATAAGTAAAGATGCATTAAGTAACAAAAATATAAATAAAGGAAAAGATTCACCCGATCTTCAGTGAGACGGATCTTCTTTCATTTAATAAAGATCAATGGTAGACAAATACAAGAACTTTATGACCCTTTTTTGGATCCGATGAAGATATGAGATCACTCATCCTCTCAATTCTTTGGAGAGGTGTGTTTACATATTTTCTAGAAAGAGGGAGAGGGAGACAGAGAGAGAGCCCCCCTCCTTTTGGGAAGTCCTCCCCTCCTATTTATAAGGGAGGTATCCGTAGAAAATCCTAAAAAAAGATATAATTTAGAGGGAATATTCGGTAGAATATTCCTTTTGAGTATTCCAAAGCAAACTAGCTGTTTGATGACGGTCCGACCTTGCTTTTTGATGACGGTCCGACCTAGCTTTTTGATGACGGTCCGACCTTGGCTATTGATGACGGTCCGACCTTAGCTATTGATGACGGTCCGACCTTGCTTATTGATGACGGTCCGACCTTGGCTTGTCTGACCACGACCTTATGTCTCCGCGTGCCGAATTTCTCTGATCTAATTTTGACCCATACAGTACCCAAATTAACACCGTCCATTCACTATTTAATTTACCCTGTCACTTCACCCGTTTCTTTTCCTTTTTACCCCTATCCTTAATTAATTTCAAGATGACAACATAGAAAAATACAGAGGCATATCTTGAAACTCTTCAAAATCTCTTATTTCGTGAAATTCCTCTTATATTTTTGCACTTCAATTCATGAATAAAATGAATACGATGCATAGTGTCCCCCAAATTAGTTTAATCTAAGCTGTAACGGAGCATATAATATATGAGTTCATGTGAATCCATTAATAAATTAATTAATTATATATATCATAAATTTACTAAATTTATAAATATTTGACTGTTAATTCAGCTTTAATTATATACTCCCTCCGGTCCGTAATAAGAGACCATTTTACCTTTTTATTTTGGTCCAAAATAAGTGTCCATTTACATAATCAAAGAGGAATTAATTTTATTTTTCAAACTTTACCCTCAATTACATATTTCAATGTGTTAAGGTAACAACTAATTAATGTTGATTTAGTAAATACAAAGAGAAGTACTATTTTTTAAATCGTCGAAGAAACGCATAAAATTTAAATTATAAATCTGCCTTAATAGTACCCATTATGTATACAACTCTCTAGATATGCTCTGCTCGATGTATGGAGTGAAGAGAAGATGCTGAATTGAAGTACTACACGTGCACTGCTTATTCAATCAATTCCTACGGAGTACTACTACTTTATTTAAACAAACCTCTCTTCTCAACTCACTCAACGGCCAAGCTAGCTAGTTGCTACCGTCCTTAGAAACCTAGTGCATTTATTTACTTATTAAAACAAAAGTTTAACTACAGCACAGGATAAATTTATACTTTAAGTTACTTAAGATTTATTAACAGCGAATTTGTTTACCCGTAATATGGTACAGTTAAATTTGTAATGTTATTTATAAACAAGCGGATCGATTTGATCCCAAAATGATAAATAAATTTAATAAAATACAAGACTTAATGTTGAAATCGATATAAGACAGCAAATAACTTGGTTCCGGGAG